GTACATTGCAATAATCTGCTATTCCGGTCTAGCCTTTCTCCTTTGAAATTCTGGACATTTTAATCTTGCTTATGCATTTCAGCCATCTTTTTGATCATTACATTTGAATATTTTAGGTATGAAGTCATCCAGTCGTGCTGGAGATCCAATCCTCTTGACAGACCATCGTTCAAAGACTTGACGTCTGGGATCGAAGAAATGCTGACTGGCATATCGGTGAGAGAGAATAGTGATTCCTTACCAAAAGACATACTCATAAACATACGCGTTCTTCTCTACTCTGCTCCCATTTCCCTCAAAGTAATAATATTAATTCCTTGTAGGGATGTTTCGCATTGTTGTCTGTTTATTATTATTATTATTATTAGCCTACTTCGCAGGCAACTCTACTCTGTGGGATTCCTGTGTTAAGGCAAAAAAAACCTGCCGGAGGGGGACACCAGTTCTTCTCGGTCAAGATTATGAACACAGGAAGACCAAGAAGAGAAAAATGTCCGTTTCCGATAGAGGCTATATTATTATTTGTTGTTGCTGTTTTGTATCATTGGTTTATTTACTCATTATTTTGCCYTGRCAGGAGTACCTAGARATCCACCCAGAAGACGAATATCAAGAGGTGTTCACAAGTCCCTATGACGAAGTCATAATCAACACCRCTGACTTAGACTCAGATGAAGTCCCTAACGGAGGCATATCTGATGATAGATATAGCAATCTAAGAAGGGAGCCTGATAACAATGAACCAACTGATAACGATACTTCTATGTAAATGTACTTTGATTTTGATAGCACTTGTGCACTTGTGCCTAAAGTCGATATTATCAACAGCAGAAATGTCACAATCGCCCCAAAATGCGTTTTTCTATTGTTGTCACTTGGGAAACCAGAACAACGGCGAAACGCGTTTGGGACAATCATATGGACATGAAGGATCATACTGTACCACGTCCGTGAGTGCACTTCTTCACAAAGTTTAAATAGAGATTGACTTTTATGTGCAATATGAATACTGATAAGTGGCAGGTGAAAAATACCATGACCAGCATACTTTTTATTTTTCTCCTTTTTTTTAAACTTAAGTACCGCTAACTTTTGTCATGTTAAATTGTTTTTTTATTTTATTTTACGCCGATTGGTTGTAAATAGTGCAAAGTGTTTTATTCATTTAGTCTTTGTGTCTTTAAGTGTTTATGTTTCGTAATGGGAATATCTGCTCTCTCCTTATATTTAGAATAAATTGCCTAAACCGGAATGCAGATTTACCTAAAGTTTCAGGGCATAAAAATTGGCATCGCTTTCTCAGTAGTCTAAATGTTTACACAAACCGTTAAAACGGCCTTCAAAAGGGACATGGTCCATCAGCATTTWTAAAATGCGGGCGTGTTTTAGACTTTTCATTTATATTCTAATTTGCTCCCCCGCTCAACCGAATATAAATCATTTACCATTTAATATCACACAGACTTCAGGAGGATGTCCACACGACAGCGTGTGCGCGTGTTTTATTCGAACTAATCATTGGTTGACGACCGTGTTTATATCAGAGGACAGAGACACGCACGCCGTTTTATATTTCTTAATTTTGTTGTTTTTATTGCACACTGCAGTACACTGTACAGATTTTATTTAGCACTGTTTGGTTAATACTTATTATCCTGTACACAACCTTGTTTCAGGATTGATAAATGCTTTTGCTTTTGGAAGAAATACACCTACTTGCAGAAACGTTGTCATAGGAAATAGGACATTTGTATTTAGTAAAAAGGAATAAATTAAAACTAGACAAAGGAAGATCACTGAAGCTGAACGCTCTCTTTTGTCTTGTTTTAATTAATTAATTCCTTTTTACTAAATTCAAATGTTCTGTTTTCTATGACAAAGTTTCTGAAAGTAGGTGTATCTCTGAATTATGCAGAGCAAGGGGCTCATACAAATCTTTCAAACGTGATTTCGAATCTAGTCTTCATTGCACACAAATTGTCAATAATTACCTCACTCCAGAACATTCTAATGTTGTAAAGCTAAAAATTGTCGCCCGCAGAGTGATCAGAATGACTGCATATCAAATGAAATGCAGATAAAACCATTATTAATACAACTCGATATGTTGAAGTTAACTACTCTCGGAAAAGAAATAATAGGTCTAAATTTCTGTAAAGATACTGTGACGTCATTATGACATAGAGCAATTATACTAGTGATACGCTATCACGAAATTCGACAATTTAAAGCTATAAAGCTGGTAGCACATCACAGAGTCATTTGTATTTATAGTGGACGTTAAAGCGTTTGTTAGTAARAGCGCTATACTTAGTTGGTAAAATGAGATTGCTTATGGTATTTGGTTGGTGTGCCAGCTTCTTTTTTGGCTGGTTTTACACTCAGAATGGAGTTCGAGGTAAGTCAGCAATTTAGGCTTTGTGTGATGTATTTAGGATAATAAAGCTAAAACTAATCAGTCATTTTRGAAAATGAAATAGAATTTCATGATGCAGTTCACCATCTCATATACATGGAAATATTATTTGCATCTTGACAAGAGAAGTCCATATTTTTGACACATTTATTGATTTTGTGAAGACTATTATATTTCGTTGATATCCTAAAGCTTTTTTTTCTCTCTCAATAATTTATTAGCTTTTATAACAATCTATTTGTTTGTCTTCGTATCCAAAATGAATGTTTGTGTCATTGAAAGTAGATATTGAAGATTTTCTGTCTTCACCTTATTTGTTCACCTGCCATAATTATTGCTTTTAAGATCTTTAAATACAACTAAGTATKTCGTTAAAATTAAAAGTCATGGTTTTGTCAAATATAAATGTGAAAATATCCATACTGTTGTAAAGTTATTTTGTGTGAAAGCATGTATTTCTCGTGGAAATAAATAAAGCGGAAAATGCTTTTGAAAACTTTGATCGATCGAAAGAAAGCTTATCAGCGGTTGTTTTGTTTTTCACAAAGTATCATCCACTAAATTATGATGAAATAAGAGTGTATTCACAATAAGAACCATGTAATACTATAGAGTAAGCGTAGAGATTTTCAACACAAGAAGATAARATTCGTACCTCCAAGCGACCATRTAAYATTCTGTTTATCATCATATAATTATATAGRAAAGCAATYTATGTYGTAAAATACATTTTTTTTACTTTAMAATATATAGAGAAACCWCGAATGAGTTCTTTTCACTAGTGAAAATGTTATTAGTGAAAATAACAACTCTCCGATAGAGAAAAACATAGATGTTATTTCATACCTTATTATRTGACAAAAGAATTCATCACACTGAATTATGTATAAATTGAAATACCTATAATTCTTTCGTTTGAAAAGTTATAATTCAAGTTGCCTAGCGCTAAGTATTTTCTGACAAAAATTTGCGACGATATCCTATAGTTTCTGATATATTTTATATATACTTAATTGAAATATGAGGAAAAAATATCATATTTTCTGCATATTGCTGTATTTTACGACATAATTTATACGTATTATGATTTCGCTTAGAGATACAAATTTTATCTTCTCTTTATTTATTTATTTTTTATATTATATTTATTGATTTTATTTTATCTTTTCTTTACTTTCCATTTTTTTTAATTTATCAATGAAATTTTGTTCCATTTTTCACAAAGTTGTTCGCGCATTTATTATAAATGGACTATTCATCTAGTTGATTGARCATTAATATTTTATACGAAAATTCATTGGATGACGAGGGATATTTCACAATGAATTTCACGAGAAAAACGATATCGCGGTCTTGCAATTTTGTAATCGCGCGTTTGATTTCAGACCAAATTGCACTCCACTCAGCTCAATTACCATTATAAATTCTTCACTATGTACGTCAAACTTTCGTCATCTCTTTCTTATCAGCAGGTAACTTTATTATGTGATATGCGATTCTATCATTAATACAAAATGCAAAWTTTTTAATTGTATT